ATTTGGGGCTTTTCTCTGCCAGAGGACCTGGACATTTTGTTAGGATACATGGCATCATGTACTCTATGGAATATCAACCGATATTAAATGAACAACAATGGAGTGAGCAGTGCCTAGGGTTGTCCTAATGAGTATCCTAGATATGGAATGAGAACAAACACAAAAAGGAAGACTATATTGTGTAGTAAATTGATGGCATATGTGAAAAAGAAAATAAGAAATGCAATTACAATATGTAGAGCTTCCAGTAGCTCTACTTAAAAGCACCTGGGTGGTATGGTCCCATCCGGGGATAAGGTAAGTAATATTTATAATGGAGGGTGTTTTTTAAAAATGTCAGATGTTTTTTAGATGTTTATAAAATGTAAATAGAACTGAGTCTCCCTTCCTAATTCCCAGCACCTTCCTCAGCACATATGCCCCGCCCCAGCATGTAAGCTCCACTCGGAATCCCCACATCCCAGAGAAAACTTCATCTCCCACAGCTTCCAGTGCCAGGTAAGGTTTCACATAGTGTCTGTAGTGAGTTTGTATCAGTCAATGATCTTGTGTGTCAGTGAGCTTTTGAGCGTGTGTGTAACAGAGCTTGTTTGTAGTGAGCATGTGAATGTTGTCAGTGAGTTTGGCTATAGTGAGTGTGTGTGTCAGTGGACTTGTCTGTAGTATGTGTGTGTGTGTGTCAATGGACTTGTCTGTAGTATGTTTGTGTGTGTCAGGGAGCTTGGCTCTACTGAGTGTGTGTCACTGAGCTTGTTTGAAGTGAGCATGTAAGTGTGTGTGTGTGTGTGTGAGTGGACTTGTCTGTAGTGTGTGTGTGTGTCTGTGTGTGTGTCAGGGAGCTTGGCTGCAATGAGTGTTTGTCACTGACTTTGTTTGTAGTGAGCAGGGTTATTCACTAAAGTGAGAATTCAAAGTGAAGACCAAAATAGTCATATTGGAAAATATTTTGAAATCAAGTATGCTTCCAGTTCGTATACTGCAGCCAAAAATGTGAAATTCACTTTGAATTCTCACTTTGAATAACCCTGCAAATTTTGCAGTTCAGCTTTAAATTTGCCACAATTCACCATTTATTTAAAAAAAAAAAAACCACCACAATCGACAATGTTTGGTGTCCCAAATATATGTTCTGATTAGGGTTGTGCAAATAATGCTGTAATTTTTCCCAATTCTCTTAACTCCTTGTTTTCCACGATCCTATAAACACCAAAAACTATGTACATACTATTGGGTTAAAATGATTAAACTGATTAACAAAAATCTCAGGAATGAGTGTGCTCTTCTGAAGTAACACTGGAAAATGAATTTATCTTCTGTTTTTAAACCATTTATTTTCTCTGTCAAAACCAAAATCTCCAAAACAGTTATAAAAGATATAAAATTACACATCCAACTTGTATTAAACACTACCGGAGTATTTTACGTCACCCAGAGACCCATTTCTAGTGGATAGAAATTGATTCTAACGTCTGCGTTATTTAATCACAGGCAGGTTTTATAGGATTGTTTTTATATTGCTATATCTATCATTCTCTGCTGCAAAATTTTTAGAAGGATAAATGCAGGTGTGGGACTTAGGCTGAAGTAGAAATCAATCCTCAGTAAGAATTATTGAACCACACCTCACTGGATGTAGTAACTTGTATACTATTTACTTAAGCTGTTCTATTATGGGCCCATTCTTTAGTGGGGTTCGGTTACTCCTCGTTAGTCAGGGCATCCACCCAAATTACCTTCTTTTATACTTAAATCTGAGCTATTAACTTAGTGCCGATGCAAATTGTAATAAGATGATGTCATAACGTACACCCTTAACCATGTTATTAACAAGGTGTTATACTGCATTTATGATCGGATATAAAAATATACATGAATATTCTTGTAAATATTCATAAAAGAACACACTTAGCTTCTATTATATTTTTAATGCAATTTATTATGTAAAGCTACTGGAAATGAACAGGAGTGGTTAAAAAGACATTGTACACTTAAGTACCTGCTTTGGAAGGTAATCTAAATATGTCCTAGGTTCCTTATTCCAAGAAATGTAGTCACACAATGTCATAGGGCAAGCATGTCAAACTTGCGGCCCACAATGAACATCTTTGTGGCCCGGCAAGCCGTGAGTACGTGCTTAGAGTTAAAGCAGAGTACGTGCTAAAATTTACCCGACTGGAGAGAAGGCAGGACGCTGGCGGCAGTGCTCCTCACTGCTCCCTCGCGGGCGCCGTCTGTAGTGAAGCCGGGTGCCAGTATACGACGTCATATTCTGG